AGGAAAAGCAGCTGTGTCTCCGGGGAGGGCGATGGGCCGGGTTCTGCTGAAGGATGAGGCTGACGTGGACATCACCGTGTCCTGCTTCTACGTGGTTGCCGTCCGGGGCAGCCCCGGGCCACCGCCACGCCTCCATTCGGTCATCTCCGGTAGCCCCTCCTGCTGTGCTCGGCTCTAGCCGTTGTCCTGCGGGGTCTTGCCGTGTTCTGTCCCTAGTGAGGGTGTCCAGGCCCCCTGCCGCATCTGGCGGCCCTGGCCCTGTGAGCCGCCTTACCTAAGTGTGCACTCCCTTTTCCTCGGGGCCCTACTGTCCTGAGGGGGCTGCTGTCCCTGGTCTAGTTCTGCCCATCTGCCGCCTCTTGCCCTGACCTTCCCGTGACCTGGAACCCCGTTGGGGTCTGGCGTGTTCACTGGGGCAGTCGTGTGTGCTGTGAGGTTACCTGGCGCCAGCTGCCCGAGGCTGGGGGCGGGCCGCCAAGGCAGACGGGCCGCCAAGCAGAGGCCCACGTGTCAGCCCTCCCTGTGGCCCGTTGGCTTTTCCACCGCGTCTTGACATCCCTTTCTTCGTAAGGATAACGGGCCACCAGATCATTTGCTCCTTCTCTGCCTCTTTCAACCCAGAGCCGTCTTCCCACTCTGCCCCGCGTGTACGGGGAGGAGGCCCTCAGGAGGGTCTGTTTAGCAGCCTCAGCTCAGCCCAGAGCTGCCGGGTAGGGGCGCCCTCCTGGGCCGGGCATGCCGCCGAGGTGGGAGTTGGCCCGTGGGCACAGGAGGGTGTTGCCAGGAGGAAGGCCCAGTCCTGCCGCTCAGCCCTAAGGAGGGGACTCGGCTGGCTGATGCCGGCTCCTGGGCCTGAGCTGGCCCTGGACCTTCTGTCAGCTCCGCAGCCCTGCGGGAGGATGCCAGCCTGGCTGGAGCCCCAGACCTGTCACCGTGGAGGCCCGGGAAGGCCAGGTTTCTGCCAAGTGGGTGCATGGAGCTCCAGCCCCAGGGGCTCCGAGGGCAGGGCATGGAGGACAGGGCACTGACCTGATGTGCACTCCGGGGAGGGCCAGCTCATCCCAGCGTCCCAGTCCTTCGCGGGCACTCAGCCCTCCTCTGAGGCCCTGTTGTGCTCTAGGTCAGACGCGGGAGCAGAGGCTCAGAGAGCTCAGGCTGTTTGGACACTCCTTCCTCTCCTTGGCTGCACACGAGCCGGGTGGCCACAGCAGTGCTGGGACTCACACAGGGTCTTCCAGGGCCTGGGGCCTGGCATTGTTAGAACTGCCCAACATAGCTTGTGTGCCCAGCACCTGGCCGCTAGGCAGGGCCTCGGGAACAGGGCCTCACCTGCCTCCCGTGTCCGCGTGGTGCACTCGCCCCCCGGGTCCTGCCGCTCACTGCACTGAGCCCCTTGACAGTAAATCCACGTCCCTTGCACCGTGCCCGGGGCCCCGATGAGCGCTACGTGCCTAGCAGATGCTGCGTCAGACTTTCTAGGAAATTTGCAACATGTGGCTGTAAGGAGCTACTTCCTGTTTCTTGCAACCTGACTGCCTTGCGTGCGTCTTTGGCGATCGGTTACCTGTGCTTGGTCAGCTCAAGTGTCCTTGCTAGAAGCTCCGTGGGCCCTTGTCTCAGAGCGTGTGTGGGAAAGGGGGTCCCTCCGCGGCACCAGGCCCCTCCCGGGAGGTCCCTGCCCTGGCGGGCGGTGAACGCTCTCGGCCTTCCCCATAGGCTGTGTGAACTTTGAGGGAAATGTTGGCTTTGGAGCCTCCCGCCCGGCCTCTCCCTGTCTGAGAGACGAGGAGGAAACGAGGCCCACGTGTTAGGACCCGTGGGCACAGCAAGTGCGGACGTGGGCCCTTAGCTGGCGTCTGACTGGAGGGCCGCCTGGCAGAGGAGGCGGTGTCGAGGCATGGATGCCGCTTCTGCGCTCAGCCTAGGTGACGAGTCCGGTCCCCCGGTGGGGAGAGCCCCGGATCCCTCAGGGTGGTGTGTCCCTCGGGCGCTTGCCTTTCCTTGGGTCCTGTGAGCTGAGACCCTCCCGATCCCCAGAGCGGGGCCAGGCCAGGCTCAGGTGCCCAGCAGGTCCCATTCAGGCCGGTCTCACAGTGACATCTCTGTTCACTGTCACGCGGGTGGGCACAGAGGCCCTCTGTGGTGCGTTAGTGCTGTCTCTGAGGCACGACTGTCTCGGTGGGGTGCGTCCCCCGAAGCTGAGCCCCGTGTGCAGCTGGGCTGATGCTCAGGGCTGGCGGCTGTGACTCTGCCCCCTGCGGAGCTAGAGCTGCGCATCCGGTGATGAAAACCACGGAGTTTGGGGAAACACCCTTGTCTCCGGCGTGCGCACTGATGTGGCGAGCTGTGTCCGTGCGGCCTGGGCCTAGCAGCGTCGGTTTTGGTAGCCTGTGCTCATTTGCATCTGAAGCCCATGGCCCGCGGATGTGCTGCCAGCTCCCAGACAAGGGAGGGCTGTCTGAGCAGGTCCCGCACAGAGCCATGAGCGCCCTTCATCCCAGCCCCAGCCCCGGTCAGGCACTGTGTTCCCCAAGTGCTCTTCTGGGTGGGGTGGGCAGGGAGGGGGCCTTCTAGGTCACTCCCTTGTGACTTCCAGGGTGTCGAGGCGTGACGTTTGTTACTAACCTGGGGCTGTGCAAACCGAGCCCATTCTTCGTCAGGAAAGAGGCCGGGAACGGGCCCCTGGGTGGTCTGTGGTTTGGATAGGTAAGCCACATCCATGACGGGGAGTCCCCGGGACTGTCCCCCAGACCTCCTGGCTGCCTGTGTTCCCACCATCTGATGGGACAGCTTTGTTTCTTGAGCCCAAGAAAGCCCAAACCTGATGGGCACAGGTGAAGTTTGGGGACAAGACCAACTACAAGCGTACTTCAGGGGAGTGGGTCTGAGGGCCTCCACATCGGGGAGCTTGCTCAGTGCAGACGGACGTCGGAGAACACTGGCGAGGTGGTGCTCTCGGTGGGATTCCGTGTAGAAAAGCGTGTGTGTGCTTAAACTGCAGCATTTCTGTGCTCTTTGACCTGCTCAAGCAGATCAGAGCAGACATGAGGCAGTTGGTTACCTTTTTTTTTTTTTAAGAATTATTTATTTAATTTTATTTATTATTTTAAAATTTGGCCTCGGGCAAATGCACTCACGGGGGAGAGAAGTGAATGAGAAAGCACGTCGCCGGACCTGGGCGGCCATGCGGGAATCCAGCCTTAACCAGGCCACCTGCTGGCCCCCAGCTGGCTGCTTTGGGAGGTTCCTTTGGAGGACAGTAAACCACAGCAGACACCCTGTGCCCACACCGCAGGCTGGGCCACGGTGCCCGCTCTGAGAGCCATGCCGCCGCCCAGCAGCCTCGACGCAGAGGTCCCACCTTGCCCACCCGGGCAGCCCCTCGCCGCCTCGCCCTGGTCTTGTGTGGGTCACCTCTGTCACCAGAACTGCCTTAGGCCTCTTTTCTAGTGTTTGTTTTGGGTTCTTTTCTTTAGTCATGATAAAGCATGTGTGTACTACGCGTGAGCAAGCGAGAGCAAGAGAGCGAGCCTCCACGAGGTCTGGTCGCACCACACCCCCTTCCTCCAGCCCGCCAGGTCACGGGCATGCACACGCGGGCCCAGTGCGTTCCAGTGTGACCTGGCTGGGGATTCGAACCACGGTCGCCATGTGGGATCCGACTGCTCTTGGATAGCCCATCCCCACTGTGCCGCAGAGCCGGCCACGCTCCCCGCTTTATTCCCAGTAGCCAGGGCCCAGCCATTCAGAAGCCCCCTTCACCAGGAACTGCTCCTGACCCTTTCCTGCCTTCCAAAGGGGCAAATCCCGGGAAGCAAGTTGAGGTGGGAGACGGAGGCGGGGGCCGCGTGTGCGGAGCACGTCCTGAGAGGCTCGCCAGCACGGGAGGCAGAGGAAGGCACGTCAGGGCCCTTAGCCAGGAACTGGAGTTCTCCACCTGTGCTTCTGTCTTTCCATCTGTCCATCCGTCCATGCATGCATGCGTCCACCCAGTGCGTCCTTGCCAGCCGAGAGTGAGTGCAGCGAGAGAAGGACAGAGTCCTGACAGCCTCAGGCCGGGGCTGCCGGAGGCCCGAATCAGAGGCCGATCCTGAACACTGAGGTGGAGGTGGACAGCTGAGGAGCAGCACCACAGGGCCCGAGGGAGGATGGACCTGCAGCCTTCCGGGGCAGGGCGCCAAGGCTCTGCAGAGGCTGGCCTCGCCCTGAGGGTTTTAGAGAAGCTCCAGGCCCTGGCTTGGGATGGGACAGAGTTGGGCATGTAGTTAGGGACCTGCTCCTAGAGCTTCATCCCTGATTTCTGGAGACGGCTGGGCTCCTTGGTCCACCGAACACCCCGGTGGCTGTGGGAGCCTCAGCCTTTCCCGTGGGGAGGGCCAGTGTGAAGACGGCTGCAGTTGGTGTTTGTAGCGTCAGCTAGGAGCTCCCATCTCACGCTTCAGTGAAACTGTCTTTCCAGGAGCTGCTTACAAGTGTGTGAGCTAGCCGAGTGCTCCCAGCACACGTGTCCAGGCAGTGTCCTGGGTCACTTACACAGCAAAAATCGGGCAGGGCCACCGCAGAGAGCTGAACGGGCTCCGTTTTCCACGCTCCTTACCACCACGAGGTGCGGTGTGCCTCAGTGTCCTCCGTGCAGGGCGCCCTGTGGCCCAGCTCCCGAGGACCCTGCTCTGGGTCCTCGAGCTCAGCCCTTCCGTGGCGCAGTGCACATCTGCGGGGAAGGCCGATTGGGTCCTTCGCGGCCTGACCCAGGGGCTTGCCTTCCCAAAGACGCCTGTTGGTCGGCACCCTGGCTTCTGTGGTCGCGAAGCCACATCGGGCCAGCCCTTGATTGCTCCCGGGAAGGATGTGGAGACCTCTCCCCTACTCTGCCTGTTTCTGTGCCCTTGCCAGACCTCGTGGTGGGTTGGAGATGGAAACGGGACGGTCTGACCAGAACTGCTGGGTGTGAGTGGGCACGGCCCTGCCTTTTGCGTGTGGTGACTTTGCCTCCCCCACAGCCACCTCCCCGCGAGTGTCCTCCGAACTGGAGCAAGCCCGGCCCCAGACCAGCGGCGAGGAGGAGCTGCAGCTGCAGCTGGCGCTGGGCATGAGCAGAGAGGTGGGT